GAATGGATCAAAATCTATGCATCCTTTAATTGCATAAGCAACACGACGGGTGCCACATGTGGAGCAGGATCTGCTTACCCTTCCGGAGCACCTGAGATCACCCCCAGTTTTTGGTGGGGTTCGTGTTGCTTAGTCTTTAGTTTTCTATGTTGTGTCATCTGTATTACTATTTGTCTGTTTGTCTTTTTATTTTTGGCCATGGCGTTGTCAGTTTGTTTTCGATCTATGAGTTTGACTGTCCCTCTGGTATCTTTCGTTCCTCTTTAACTTGGTGGTGTGGATAAAACTCGTCAATTGAATTTATCACAACTGTTTTTTCCGTGCATGTAAGTTGCAGACTGGCATATTTGCAATTGGTTTGACGGTATCAGAACTGTCGAAAACAGAGAGGATAAAGTCACTATCAACCAACATTCTGTCTTGCAGTATTAATTCTTAGTTTATTCCTCTAAACTTTTTTGGTCAAGTAATTTTTGGACCATTTAAAATATCTTATCTTAAATTAGTATTGTTTTGTTTCTTTTTTTAGTAATATTTAGTTTTTAGGGGCAGGGCTTTCCATAACGGTCATATTTGCAGGACAAATATAAATTTATCGGACATTGTCCGACTGGGGCAAACATGAAACGGACATTCTACATGGATTTGCCATTTCAACGTTCATGTAATTGAGAAAAATCAACCATTTTGACTTGACTTTGTGCCTTAAACAGCCACACTTTTCAGGTCATAAAATTATTCAAACAAGTACTATTATCATCCCCTCTCATTACAATCATGGTTAATTAAGTGTCTAACATGTGTTGTACGACTTTGCCCCCAGCAGAGCTATAGAAAAACAGTACATTAACGGGTGTTACACGGACACTTTTTAGATGATACACGGACACTTTTTAGTTGTTACACGGACACTTTTTATGAATAGAATCACTCGTGCATGATCAGTGAGTTCATAGGCACTTTAAATTTCAATTAGATTTGAATTGTTTTGTTTCACCGACATATTTCCTGTCTTTTTAATTGAAATATTTACGTTAGCATCAATAACTATATTTGTTTTCAAACAATTCCAGTAACTATTCATATTAGTACACTAAGGGATTGACCATTTAACTTCAAAAGGTGGGTTATGGTTTTTTCCTAAAAAAAAAACATTTTGATCCCCAAATTTATGAGAAAAAATATATAATATATTATATAGTTGAAAAACTAAATAATTTCTTACTCAGAAAAGAACACACCCCCTTTTGAAGCTAAATGGTCGGTCCGTAAATGTGTTTTTTTTTTTCTTCAATAAATGGACATGAATAGTATTCTGGACAATGCTGAAAGAAATACTGGTACCAACGTTTATATTCAATAAAAAAGACAGGAAATATATATAAAAAAATCAAATTTAATCAAAAGATAAAATCCCTATCAACTCACCAATGCACGATTGATCCTATAAATAAAAAGTGTCCGTGTAATACATGTTCAAAAAGGCAGCAAATCTTGAAGAAAATCATTCAACTTATTTCATCAATTTTGGACGGTAAGCTCTGATTGGATCATATAATGACACGTGTTTAATCCTCATCAACACTATCAGAGACATATAAAAACCTATAAGCATGAACATTAGTTTTAATCCAAAAAATATGCCTATATGTATCTAACAACAAGACATAACATTTCATTCACTAATGAGATAGGAAATTCATTCTTTTGATACACTTATATAGTTATTGAATTCATATATATTGAATTCATATATTTGGCGGCAAACGTACGATTTTTACGAATTTTTAAGGGGGGAATTTATCTTAACTCCCCCTTTTCCCCCAATAAAAATCAAATGGTAGCTTGCTTACCTCTGAAATCTTTTTTTATACATTACTTACTTGCGAAGTTGCATTTCAAAAAGTCTCAAATGTGTATAACATTCACCTTTAACTTGAAATGGTTCTTTTTTATAAAGTTATTAGATTCTTGAATTTTTTGAGAAAAAAACTCTCGGCTGAAGGGAAGTAAGAAAACAAATTGAGTTTAAACTGTAACTTACATTAACTGGTATATGGCCATTTAAGTTTCTAATATCTTTAGTTTTGCTACCTCCTCTAAATGTAAAATGTACTTCTCCCTTCTTGAAACGTCGTACAAGTCAGATACAAAACAAAGGTAACAAAAAAAAAAAAAACAGGCCGGAAACAACCTGCCGTATAGTTTGTCTGCACTTGTAGTCAGGTCAAGGTCCTCGGCTATCGCCTCGGACCTTAAACTGACTACTCGTGCAGAAAAACTATCCGGCAACGGTTGTTACCGGCCTGTTTCTCTGTTACCTTTGTATTGTATCTAATACTTATTTACCTGTGATCACTTGTGTCAGGTAAACTATTTGTACCGGACATCAATCGATCTTTTTGGAAATTATTTTTTAATCAAAATTAAAAACATTCCTGGTTTAAATTAGGGCTGCATCGTAGGGGTTATGCTGCTTTATTGACCTATATTTATGTCTATTTTTTACATAAATAATACTAATCCTATTCCCGAATTTTAGATTGTAAATCAATAGGAATTCACAAGACAGGTGTTAGATATAAGAAGATGTGGTGCATGCATAGCAGGACACGTTTACCCTGTCAACCGGTCTCGCTCTTTTTGAAGCTTACCCTGTCCAATAAACCGGTCTCGCTCTTTTTGAAGCTTACCCTGTCGAATCAACCGGTGTCGCTCTTTTTGAAGCTTACCCTGTCCAATAAACCGGTCTCGCTCTTTTTGAAGCTTACCCTGTCCAATCAACCGGTGTCGCTCTTTTTGAAGCTTACCCTGTCCAATCAACCGGTGTCGCTCTTTTTGAAGCTTACCCTGTCCAATCAACCGGTGTCGCTCTTTTTGAAGCTTACCCTGTCCAATCAACCGGTGTCGCTCTTTTTGAAGCTTACCCTGTCCAATCAACCGGTCTCGCTCCTTTTGAAGCTTACCCTGTCGAATCAACCGGTGTCGCTCTTTTTGAAGCTTACCCTGTCGAATCAACCGGTCTCGCTCTTTTTGAAGCTTACCCTGTCCAATAAACCGGTCTCGCTCCTTTCGAAGTTTCTCTTTGTTACCTTGATTTGTCTTTTCCTTAACGATTAAAGAGATTTGAACATCGGTAAACTACTGTTGTCTTAATTTAACGTCCAATTGTAATAAGATAATTAGAACGACGAGAAATACAAAATTAATACATTAGGTTGACCAAGATGAAGGACGGTAAAAATTGGACTGCTATTTAACAATGATGGAATGCTGAATAGCGCAAACATTTTGACTTGCAACAAACCATATATGGACCCATCAAAGAGTTGTTTCAATAGTTCAATACGTGTGTAGTTTTGTAATCTCCTATTCTGGGGCATATTATTGAATTGTTAGGTCTGAGTTTGTATTTAAAAGTAAGCCGGTTATGGCTTTCTAACTAAGACCTTTAACTAATCAAAAACTTTATTGTGTATGTCTTGAACAAAGAAGTATTAATCATAAAAAAGGCTATTAATTTTAAAGTTTTCAAACTCTTCAAATCCTCAAATTACGGAAAACTGTTCACGATTAACCAACTTGCATATTTCCCAGCTGTATTGTCGATCTCTGAAATGAAATTAAAATTTAAGAACATGCATATATATATATATATATATATTTTTCACTCTTTTGGTCTTTTGGAAAATGTTGTTTGTGTTGTATTTAGACCCCTCTAACAAGAAATTTGTTTTGCATGCACACGTATAAAAATTGCTGTTTTTATCCAACGCAATCATAGGTTTGAACGTTTTTTTTCAATTTAGACTTGTTTATATTTTTTGGTTTGGGCTTGTATTATATTTGCCTTCGGGTTTATATGATCCGTTCATCCTATTTTGACTCCTCAAAATTCAGGAGTCTATCCTAAATTGAGGTAAATTGTATGGCTTTTCAAATACCGTTTCGATTCCTAACATCACTGAAGAGACATTAATTGTCGAAATCCGGATATGGTGTACAAAAATCTTTGCACCTTTTGTTTGCGGTATATCATCTTTTCCGCAAGTTTATTGTTTTCTGTTCAGTATTAAATTTAAAGTTAACGTCCATTTATTACATCGGTGGTCCGTTTATTTGGCAATTGCCAATGGCAGTCAGCAGGGTTTAAGAACATTTGTTGTTCGATCTGTTAGTCAAATGCGTTTTGCTAAAATATACTTTTTCACTCTTTTGGTCTTTTGGAAAATGTTGTTTGTGCTGTATTTAGACCCCTCTAACAAGAAGTTTGTTTTGCATGCACACGTATAAAAATTGCGGTTTTTATCCAACGCAATCATATGTTTGAACGTTGTTTTCAATTTAGACTTGTTTATATATATTATGTTCTCGTTTGGATTCTTCTACATTTGTAAAGTCAAGGCCTTTTATAACTTGCTGTGTAGAATGCATTTTTTATTGCAGTACTGTGATATACAGTTTCTAACTTCTACGTCATTTGGTCTCTGTTTGAATGTTTTCTCATCAGCAATCATACCACATCTTCTGATAATATATATACCTGATTTATATATAGGGTATGATTGGTAAAGACACCACTTTCCAACAGAAACCAATATATATTATATCTTGATGTTTGGAAAATAAGTGTAAATATAGATTCGGATGAGATCTGTTCATGATTATCATTTTTTGATAAATATATCAATATTGAAAAAAAAAAATATTTTGAAAAGCTTCCCTGGTTGAATATTCAAAAATATTCTAAAGTCTATCATGGGCATATCAAGATTTGGTTATGATTTTTGTGCTTTGTCACCATTCTTTGTTATTTTTCTTCGAAATATTTAAACTTACTCGTAGCAGTTGTTGTGTGTACTGGAAACACCTCGTATAACGGAACCCTTTGGTACACACTCATTGAAATATTTTTTCTAACTTATTGATTGTTGAGTGTATTGACAAAATCTCTGGTAAAGAACCAGTTGTTATATACTCATGAAAATATCTAAACTTACTCGTAGTGGTTGTTGTGTGTACTGGCAACACCTCTTACAACGGAACCAGCTGGTACATCTACTTTATTGGGTTGGTCGTAATCATTCCTGAAGGTTTTATAACACTTACTAAGATCCTTTTCTAAATGTAATACATATAGTATTAGCTCATTATTTGTTAACAAAATCGATAAACGCAAATACAAATAACTATGAATTAAAAAAATCCAACTTTGCAATTGGATAAGGATTTTTTTATAATTTTTGTTACACGTTGTCAGGAATGTGATTATTTAGACTTCATTCGTGACTTAGGTTTTCATATTGTTAATTAATTTAAAAGGTAAGTAGCTCAAAACAATCATATATTTTTACGAAACACTTTCATACTATGGATTATTACGTTTTTTAGTTGAGGGTCTGTATCGGGTTTACAGAATAGAGAATAATAAGCCAAGACTTCAAATGAATTGGCTAAAATATAAAGAAGAGAGCAAAATGGCAAAAAAAAATAGAATAGAGAATATAAGGTTGCCAGAATATAAAGATTAGAATAATGGACAAAACAAATATAGCGAAGAGAAAAATGGCCTCAACAAATACATAAATGAAGTATCACTTACTATCCAAACCCTTTAAGCTATAAGCATTTTGAAATAAACGTCAGAATTGGACCGGATTATAGTGAGCAAACGACATGTGTTTCATTAACAATTTTCACGAGGTAATCTCAAAGTTAGCTTAACAGAAGTAGTTGTATTTGTCAACTTTAAAAAAAATGAATATAATTTACGTATATCAATAACTCGTTAAAACATAACAGTACCGATTAAATAAAAGTATCATTAAACATTAATAAAATATTTACCGGAAATTGAGCAACATTTAAACCTAAACCTTCTGTCCTCATAGTGATTGTGATGGATGCTCTTCATACCAGTTATGAATCCATAATTGTGGCATTCAAAGTTGAAGAAGTCATCCCAGTCATTCACATAATGAGCTGATATATAAAATATAATTAACATATTTAGCATATAAACCAAAATAATATAAACTAGAATGTGTTTTAACTTCATAGTTTACATATTCAGACGCCCTTACATTGCTTCAGTATTCACTTTATTGGGTCATAGTGAAGATGTTCTTTTGAGCTGTTGGCCTCGTTTGTCGAGTGGTTTAAGCAGTTCATATACAGTATCAATAGCCTAAAACACCGAGGTTGTGAGTTCGTATTGTGTATGTGTCGTGTACGTTCAACTGTTTACTTGAATAAAGAAAAAAATAAGTGATAAACTGCATTATTTGTACTGTTTTAACAAATACCAAATATTTGTGTGTTTTCCAATTTTTTTAACTTATCCATTGAAGGGGAGATAACCCAAATAGTAAAATTTTTAGAAAGGAATGTTAAAGAACTTTTAATTTTTTACTTATATCAAGAAAATAAGTTATGAGTTATGAAGCCCGTACGGTTGCCTGTAATTGCTAACATCCACGTCATTTGAATTTGGGGGATAGTTGTCTCGTTGCAATCATACCACATCTCCTTATTTCTATATTGGTGACACCATTTCTTCTTTATTTTCTTAACGCATATTATAGAACCTATCTTTTCATATTCTATTTCAAAATTCAATCTCATAGATTTCTTTTTATTCACAAAAATTTTTTTTAATGAATAATCCGTGCAAATTTGTGCAATTTTGCACGACTTGTATCTTTAGAAATGATACAGTGACCCATACTTTTTGTTATATTTTAAAAAAAAATCATGGTAAAATCCGCATTTTGGCAAAGTATAAAACAAATCTTATCTGCGGAAATCTATACCAATGATCCACCTTAATATCAATGCGACATCAACCCAAGTTAAAATCATTGAATTTATTTATTTTATTTGAAGAATAATATTAAAAACAGATGCTTGCTAATGGGTTTTGGATTGAAATGTTATTTAATACTTACGAGTCCAGTAGCAATTTCTGTATTGTCCACCAGTTCCTCTACATTCAAAAGCCCATCTACGATCTTCATAATGGTTGTGATGTACACTGTAGATGAAAGAAATGGCTTGTCCATGTGGACACGAAAAATCGACTGGTCCATCATACTTGTTAACCCATCTCCATCCGACCACAAGATTTAGTGTACATATCAAACAAATGATAGGTAACTTCAGCATCATCAGTCAATGATTTGACTGAAAGTAAATGATGATACAAGTATTTTGTATATATACATGTATATACATAATTACTCTAAATATCAAAACAATAATGTTAAATCTGCAAATTTGAATATAATATGTGTTTTCAGCCGTGTATCACCTTCAGTGGTGATACAATGGATGGATCTGTCGTACAGTTGTCACTTGTTTAGACGTACTTAACTATATATAGATGGAATTGACGTTCAAACCTATGATTGCGTTGGATAAAAACCGCATTTTATTATACGTGTGCATGCAAAACAAATTTCTTGGTAGGGGGTCTAAATACAGCACAAACAACATTTTCCAAAAGACCAAAAAAGTGAAAAAGTATATTTAAACAAAACTCATTTGACTAAAAGGTCGAACAACGGATGTTCTTACACCCTGCTGACTGCCATTGCCACTGCCAAATAAACAAATCACAAGATGTAACAAAATTGATCTTTATTATTAATTTAATACCAAACAGACAACAATAAACTTGCGGAAAAGATGGTATACCACAAACATGAGATATATTTAGTACGTCTAAACAAGTGACAACTCTACGACAGATCCATCCATTGGATCACCAGTGAAGGTGATACACGGCTGAAAACACATATTATATTCATAATTACTCTAAATATCAGCACACCAATGTTAAATCTGCAAAATTGCGCAAGCAAATTTTTGTTCTTATATCCCAACAGGATTTGAACTCACACCAGTCCTGTGATACACTACACCACCAATCGCTTAGTTTCTGTCCAGTGCTCTAGACCACTCGACCATAGCCGCTATATAAAAATATAACTTCAATAGTCGTAGTGTTACCTTGCAAATATATATATTATTGCGAAACTTCCCCTTTACATCGAGGGCAAACACCAGTGGAGTATTAATGTTTGCGTCATACAAACTATACAATATATAAAGTGTATGTAAAACATCACATCATTTTAAAATTAAAAATGTCAATATAAGAGTAAAAGTATTTCTTTTAAAATTCAACCTTTGACAATAAACATTTCTAGAAACGATTAAGAGAAACATCAAAGTGCGATATCTTGCATATTATTGAAATATACCTTATGAACTAATTTTTAGTATTTAAAATCTTAACTTGCAAAGTTACCAGACGGTTTGTTAATAGCCTAGCAACCATAATTCTGTGAATCAAACGAATTGCTAATACAATTCAGTTGAACGCGCTTTTAAGTATCAGACAATACATAATAAGTGAGCGACACAGTGCAAAATTGTATCATTATGATATTAAAAAAGTGTAGAACTTACAGGTACCAGAGGATCTGTCGAACGCTTATGTCAGTGCATTTGCAGCATGCCCTGTTTTATACGTGCGGAAAGTTTATTGATTGATGAATGAAATGACAGCGACCAACCCATTTTTCCTGAAAGGAAAAGGACTATTAAGACATCCAATACAAAATGATTTCATCTTTATTTTTTTACTGATTAGATGTAATATGAGTTTTTGCATTAGATATTCATACCGATATCTATATCTTCTGCACTATGCAATATGGTTTGTTTTATAACAACTATACGGAATGCTATAAACGGCATATAATATGTGCAGCAATTTTCTCTCAAAGCTACAATGAAAAGTAAAAAAATGATAAAAATAAATCATTGCAATGATATAATAAATGTGATACATTTTCTAGATAAATTATTGAATGTAACTTTTCTGCGAACAAATATGAAAAAACAACCGAATGACATGCTAAGTATGCTAACTAGTAATTCGACTCGTTTGACATGTCTTTTCTTATATATTTTGAAAACGCATTTCTACACTATTTTTTATCGCTTGGATTAAGACGTAACGTCTTTCTACACTGTTTTATTGCTCTGATTCAGATAAAAAGTCTTTATACAGTAATTCGTCGCTCAGATTCAGACAAAAACATCTTTCTAAACTATGTCTCATCAATCGGAATGACATAAATCGTGTTTCTACAATATATTTCATATCTCGTATTCAGATGAAACGTCTTCACTACAAACCAGTAAAAGTCTGAAATGGCCTATATCTGTACTCGACTGTACTAATTTTTACTCGACCAGTCTGAATTGGTCTGAAATTTACTTGATAGTACTCGACTGTAGTCTGAACCATACTTAACAGTCTCAACTTGTACTCGACCCTTACTCGACCAGTACTTAACCATTTTATACGCGTCTGAACCATGCTCGACCTAGTCTGAACCATGCTCGACCTAGTCTGAACCATACTCGACCTAGTCTGAACCATACTCGACCTAGTCTGAACCATACTCGACCAAGTCTTAACCAATCTAGACCTATTTTTTGTATATATCTTTTGTATTTCATCAATTTAGGAACTGTTTTTAACAACAGCTATTCCCCCTGGCTAGAAATTTGAACAACAATTTGAAATTAAAAATGTATTCAATATAGCATTGAAACCAAAATTTCACAATAAACATAATATAACTTCATCACCATTTTCATCAACACTAATCTTATATACATACATATATATCTATCACCTTTAAAATAAAAATATAACAAGCTGATCAAATAATCTCAAAACTGAATTGTGACTAATATTTTCAATGTTATTCAAAATTTTTTGAATGTTTCAGATATATTTTATGATTACTGGACAATTTTCACCATTAACTTAAGCCTCGTATAGATTTATGGTGTCACTTGAGTTTAGTTAGTAATGCAGTGAACATTTTTTTTATTAAAATATATATAAAATAGCATATAAAGCAACTTAATAAATTTAAAAAATGACACCTTTGTTTTGTTAAACCAAGAATTTAATATAATCATGATAATAGAACTTCCATAGTAATCCTGTGATAAACTTTTAAAAAAGGAAATGTGTTCCAAAGATACAGTAAAAATTTATTTCAATTAAATTTAAATAATTTTTGTCAAAATTAAAGACATGGCATACAAGAAGCACTTTAATAAGGTTTAATTACAGGTAAAAAGAAAGCCCTATTTTTCTTAAACTCGTGTATTACTTATCTAGTGAATTCAAAAGGCCTTGCGATTTAAGTTTCACAGGATGTTGCAATTTTGAATGAATGTTATTTAGAATTTAATACTCTCTGACCAGGTGTGATCTTTTTCATGAGTTTGCCAAAAGCAGGAGGTATTACTTTATACTTCACCACTAATCAGAAGAACAATTTTTTTAATTTCTTTAATTTTTATCCCTTTTTGCTTTATATTGTATATAATATATCCCAAATTATAATAATAGATATATTTCTAATAAACAATTTCAGTGATTTTGTTGGCTGTTGTTATCTCATTAAAAAGATAATTATATAACTATTGTACATTTTTTGTATGTAACCATGAAACCTATGTAGTTTTTATTTAGAAATTTAGGAAAATTAATTTTTTTAAAAAACACATGCCAAACAAGAAGCACCTTAATAAGGTTTAATTACCCTCAGTCATTTGTCAGTATAGGTGTGGTTTTTAGGTAAAAGAAAATCTTTTTAAAAAAAAACTCTAAAACTTTAAAATTAATATAATTAAATTATTATATAAGATAATTTGATTTAACTATCTCTTCGATAAATCTGAGAATCATGTAAGAATGTAAAAAAACTGTTTTTATAATATATCTTTATTTTATTGTGGCAGTTGTCATGTCAGTTAAAAAGAAATTTATTTTAACAGTTAAAATTTAGAAAAAGTAGAGGTTATTTGGTCAAGTATGGTTCAGACTGGTCGAGTATTGTTCAGACCTTTGGTCGAGTATGGTTTAGACTGAAAAAAATAGGTCGAGTACAGGTCGAGAATGGGTTAAGACTGTTTCAGACTGGTCGAGTATGGTTCAGACTATTTTCAATGGCAAAGATAAGGGTCAAGTACAAATCAGTACAGTCGAGTATGGTTAAGACTGGGGTCTAGTTATGTCAAGTAAAATTCAGACCAATTCAGACTGGTCGAGTAAAAATCAGTACAGTCGAGTACAGATATAGGCCATTTCAGACTTTTACTGGTTTGTAGTGCTTTCTACACTATCATTCATCGCTCTGATTCACACGAAACGTCTTTCTACACTATGTTGCATCGCTCGGATTCACACGAAACGTTTTTTTACACTATGTTTCATCGCTCTGATTGAGATGAAACGTCTTTCTACAACATGCTTCATCGCATTGATTCAGATGAAACATCTTTCTACAATATGCTTCATCGCTTTGATTTTTCTACGCTTTACACTACTATTCCTCATGCTCAATTGAAAGATCGACTTTACCATCTCATTAAACAGAGCTTTTTCTATAAAAAAAGGGAATCGTAGATACAAATTTCTTGTTTTGGGTTATAACAATTCTTATTTTGTGAAAAACCACACTGAATCTACCAGAAAATATACTGAAGATGATATTATCAAAATGCTGGACTCTTTGATCGACAATATATTTGTTGAGTTCGGAGGATTGATATTTAAACAGACAGTCGGTATTCCAATGGGAACTAATTGTGCACCCCTACTGACCGATTTGTTTTTGTACTTGTATGAAGCAGAATTCATTCAGAACCTTCTAAAAGACAAAAAGAAAAAAGCACCTTGCGAAATTCTTTAATTTTACTTTCAGATATGTTGATGATGTCCTATCACTGAATAACCCATATTTCAGCCAACACTTACATCTCATATATCCCAATTAACTCGAAATTAAGGATACTACTGATACTGGAAGGACTGCACCATACCTTGATCTTTTCCTCAATATTGACACAGATGGACGACTTCACACTAAAATCTATGTCAACTTCCCAATTATCAATTTCCCATTTCTCAGCAGTAACATACCCTCTGCCCAATCGTATGGTGTTTACATATCTCAGTTGATACGTTATGCTCGTGCATGTTCACACTATACTGACTTCATATACAGGAGTGTGCTCCTTTCGCAAAAACTGCTCCAACATAGTTATGAGGAGGAAATATTAAAAATGACACTCCGTAAATTTAATGGACACCATCACGAATTAGTTGATCCATACGATATGTCTGTGTCTAAACTAACTAAGGACATTTTTACCACTTCTTAGATTGTGTTTTACCATTTACGTCGTCTGGTCTTTTAAGTACCGAACATGACCTATTCCCGAATATGACTGTTTTGCTGAGTGTGAATTGGCATTACTATAAGACATGTCATGGTATTTGTTATCCAACATTAATGTATTTAGTTACACTACAAACTGCGCAGAGTCTGAAAAGACCAGTTTTTGTGCTCGACCAGTAAAGTCGAGCACTGATTTTACTCGACTTGTCTCGACAGTACTTAACTGTACTCGACTTTACTTAAATAGTCTGAAATTAATTAAATTCTTAAATTTTACAGCAATACACCAAACTACATAAAGACCTTGGATTCAGCAAGATCAATGTATAATTGAGATAGCTGTAGAGTTTTATGAAAATCCAAGTTGATTTGAAAAAGTAATAGAAATAATTAAAGACGACTATCTGAATTTAGTCAAAACTGAAAATTCTTGCTTTTTATTTACCTATTAATTTACTTCTTTAATTTCCCAGCAATGAACCAACTACCAAAATAACCTGGAATTTTGTAAGATCAATATTTAATTTAGTTAGATGGGCTGATTCAAACCAGTTGAGACTAAAATTGAAGGTCAAGACTAGTCGAGACAGATCAAGACTGGTCGAGACAGGTCGAGCCTTAGTCGAGACCATTTCAGACTATTTAAGTAAAGCCGAGACCATTTCAGACTATTTAAGTAAAGTCGAGACCAAAGTCGAGTACAGTTAAGTACTGTCGAGACAAGTCGAGTAAAATCTGTGCTCGACTTTACTGGTCGAGCACAAAAACTGGTCTTTTCAGACTCTGAGCAGTTTGTAGTGTTATGATGTTGTATTTGTAATTCTGATCGGATATTGTTAAATGTCTTATCGTTTGTAGTTGTAATTTTACCCCCTTTTTTATTTTCTATTCGTATGTAAAAGTAAAGATAGTTAATCACACAGTTCATTTCTAAGATTTTAGTTTAAAGCAACTATATGTGCACTATTTATTTGTTTTACAGTTTAATTTAGAAATTATACCGACATAGCTAGATAATACAATTAATTATCTAATTACTAGCACAATTCTATATTAATATTCTTGCAATTGTTATAAAATACATCAAATGACATAGTTACAAACCTGATCTTGAACAGTATCAAAACATTTTTAGAAATTTACCTGTGACGTCACTTTTGTGGCGTTGACCCAGTTGTGTGAAAGACAGATCGTGGTTCTGTTGTGCTGTTTTGTGTGCTGTCCTATGTTGTTTTACGTGTTCGTTTTTATTCTGTGGTGAGCATGTCGCAATGTGCTATTGTATTGTTCATT